GTTCCTTACTAACAAAGCTATGTAGATACTTTGATATGTATGTAGATAGTTTTTGTTGTCCCAGAAACAGGCTCGTAACCAGGGGGCTTTTAAACGTTTGTTTATGATATTTGGAAAGCTAAGCAACCTCGAACAGACATAAAATTGCACAAACATCTCGGAAAAAAATCATTCATATTGAACAGGCAAAATAAACCAAGTACTCATGATCCAAACCGCAAAACGAAACCCAAAATGCCAGCAACATACTGGCAAAAAAATGAGGAAGTAAATCAATCATAAGTGAGTAAGTATTTCATAATGAAATTGGTGTCAGGTATCTAGAAGTGTAAGCATACTCTGACTGGTGCCACACCCGTCATAGCTACTCAACATACACAACAAACACTACAACTTTAAGATTACATTATATCTGTTTTTTTTTTTATATAATCTACTTTCTGTACAGTGTTATGTGCAATATTTGCTTAGAATGATATAAATATTAAATTTGTTAAAGATATCCTACGTAATGATTGGGAAATCAGGATCAGATATTTTGAAAGCACCTTAATTCTATTTGCAACTACAGAAAAATAAATATTTTATATAAAGTATAATTTACTGTGCATATATAAACAATAAAAAGTAAACAATTGTCAGTTACATGTAATACAAGACAAAACAAATTTGCAACTTGGAGGTTATTGCAAGGTCACAAATATAATATTATAATTCAGGTTTAGAAATCAGGGAAATCATTTTCATATCCAATATCACAATGTACAAAGCTAAAAGGAACAGTGCAAAAAAACTATCCATGAATGTATTCAAATCTGTGATGTTAACCTTGTTTTCAATCCTCTTAGTCTAATTAAAATAATACCAAACTTTCATACCTAAAGACAACCTTCTTCAACATTCCTCAATTTCATGACACCGCCAGCCAATCGAATTTATGCCGTCTGCAATGCTGGGATTTTGTGATGTGAACAAGAGGTACATTCAGTGTCTTATTCTTCTTGAAATATACCTTTCTTGTTTGCTTCTCAAAATCCCAGTGTTGAAGAGGGAAGAAAATGATTGGATGAGTGGCTATATGACAATAAAAGCTAATAAAAAATGGAATGAATGTTTGTTTAAATTTTAATTAGACTGAAAATCAATTGAACAAAAAAGAAATGTTTATCATTTTCCAAATATTTGAAATATTATACTCTCTGGGAAAATCTATAATGTGTTACTAGGGTTTTAAAAGAGGTTGTCAAGCTTTTGTATGGGGGAATCTCATAGCTTCTATTTCCCCCTACCTATAATTCCTTTTCTTTCATACAATACGGGTGTCATAATCTGATCAAATTTTTCTGCAATTATAAGTCCCACTGATAGCTATAATATATGATACAAATTATAGTTTCTTACACTTAATTTTGAATTTCTACTCTTATGATATATTCACTCTGAATGATTCTTTATTCAGCTTTTCATAAGAGTCAAAAGTTTGCAGTTAATTTTATTCTATCAACTAAAGAAAGCAGGAATCAACCATATAATATGGACATTCCCTTTAAATTTCAAATCCTATTTAATTTCTTCAATGTATGAAAATGTAGCACTTATGGGATAATATATAACCATTTAAACAGGGATATCAAAATTGACATGGGCCTATATTAAACTTTATTGCATATAAATCTATGTTGAATAAAATCTATAAAACAATCATAAAACGAACAATAACCATATGCAATGTTTAGCTTAGGCCTCTCCTTTAATAGTTTTAAAAAATGTCAAACTTTTTATCTAAGAGTTATAATCTGATAGTTTCAAATCATTGCCATGCATCAAAGACAAAATGTTAAATGGAACAAAGAAGAAAATATTATAAATCAATTGCCTTATTATGTCATACCATTTTTTATTCAAACCAAACACAGACAGTTGGAAAACGCTATGACATATGCTGATCAGGAACAAAGCATTGTAATTATATCATCATCAACTACATGTGTGACATTAGAAAAACATTTTACCAAAACGCTAAACAAAGAACGAGTTTGGTAGTATAGCTGATGAATATTTAAAGTATAACATTTGACTTTTGTTAATAATAAAACACGGTCCTAACTGGAGTCATAAGTGTATAACGGTTCTATAAAGACCAAATGCACGCGATAAGCCGGTAGACGCTTTCTTCTTTATTCGACATAGAGATAACTATTCCTCGAATATAAAATTTAAAAATAAAATAAAATGATACAAACCTGGCGATATTGGAGATATTAACTGTAGATAACTAGTAAAATATCCAGTGAGTAATAATTAGTGGACAGATTGAGTTGTTATTGGCTTAATTACTCATACCATTCAATTATAGTGAGAGACAGTCAGTTCCTTTCTCAAAATACTGCCATTCGATCGATTTGTACGAAGCGCATGCGTGACTACTGAAATATGAATCCCCAACCCGACAGCGGACGAATGTTAAAATGTGATTTATATTTATAAGAAGAGTGTAGAATTAACATTTATCAAGCTCATCCCACTGACCTTCATAAATACTTAACTTACATACTGTACATAACTAATAGAAAGCAGACACAAATTAACATGATATTATACATAGACGCGGGTAAAGATAAAGTTTTTCCACTTGACACAAATCATGCCCTGAGAAAAAATGCTCCGAGAAGCATAAGAGTATGAGAGGTGTCATGTAGCAGCGTATTTATGAATCATTAGGTGGGAGGTGCGAGTATGTCTTGGGATCACAAAATTGACAAGGATAAAGGGGGGGTGGGACTTACAGTCCGAAACATTTATAAGAACTAAAAGAAAAGAAATTCTACAGTGGAGAGGGGAAGACAGAGCTGGGGAAGCAGAACTCAGATAGCATCAATCACAGGGAGAGCAGATAGAACTCAGATAATATCAAACTCCGGGGGAGCAGACCGGACTCAGATAACATCAATCACCAAGGAAGCAGACAGAACTCAGATAGTATCCGTAAATGGGTGAGCAGAGACAATCTCAGATCGCATCAATCACTTCACCTACAATGCCGACAAAATCTAGACAGAATTATAGGTCATTCAATGAGGCAGAAAAAAAAAATCTAAACCGTGTTATTTATAACGGATTAAGCACTTCAAGAGTATCTAACAAGGAAAGAGAAGGACATTTCAGATGCTAAGTTGAAGCCATTTGTGTCAATAATTACTGGAGACAACCTTTGAATCTGAAAATTTCGAATTCAATTTCATTCAGAATGAAGGGTTACTAATTCAAGGGATATAACTCTTTTTTTCAATATTTCACTAACCAGACTGTAAATTTAAACCTGTTGGATGGAAAAGCAACCAAATTGTTCATTACATTAAATTTATTTACAAATTCACATAAAATATATACAAAAAAACTAATTATCCGACTAGAATGTTCAGTGAAATTTGGAAATACATGCTATGATAAAAAGTTGTGCGTAGGAATGCAATGTCCAACACAAATGATTGAATATTCAGTGATGCCAAGTTTCATTTTACATCTTCATATTTTGACACAAGAAATGTATATTCCAAAAAAACACATTCACAAAATATATCATTTATGCAAATGAATTTGAGTCCTGTTTGTATACGAGTTAAATATTATGGCATAATGCAACATACAGAAATATACAGATTACATAAAGCACTTGTAATAATACATATGAGTGTATATAATGAAGTGATTTAATTACAAATCTTAATGAATACAATGATCTATAATTGATGGATTAAGCAATACAATCAACAAATTACGTTTTTTGTTTTTTTTTCCCTGAAGGTTACTACTCTTGCCTCATTATCACCTGATGATGACAATGTAGATTGTTGAAATGTTGTGTGCAATACAACATAATAGTATACCATAAAATTGTGTTCTGTTATTTAATCTTGCCTTCCATGTTCTAATGAAATAATGTCAATCAGATTGATAGCAACAAATGACTTACTAATATTTAATTGGCAATATAATTTAATGTCATAAATGCTATAATAATTATTTAAATTGGCGTCGGTTTTTCGTTTATATGATTCATGAAATTTTAACCTATGTTAATCATTTTCAGTTGGGTTTAAGAGACAAAATAAAACTTACAATCCAAAGCAGCCATAAACATACAGGTATAAAAGTATTGTAATGAAAGCTGGAATAATGTCTAATTGTTGTGAAAATATAAATATAGGCTTTGTGCAGAATGCCCTGTGCTTTTATCTCATATTTGGTTTTTTATTTGCATATATGCGAATAAAAGTTTTTATATACATTAAGGTGATGTGCATTTTATAATATATATAAATACAACCAATGACATTGAAATGGTTTAAAGCTGATTAAAGGATAAACAAATAAGTACACATAAATATGAATGTTGTTTAATGTTGAAGATTTGCAGAGAGGAGATAAATCAACAGACATAGTCATCTACAAATTTGCTTTTTGATACTGATAGAGCTAATTTTGAACAATCAGAAGCACATAAGAAAATTATTGATTCATCTATAATTCAATGACTAATAATACACAAAAGATATTTTCGAGCTATTAGTAACATTATCAATGAGTAATATCAGTATTAGTTAAATGTAAGAATGTTTATAACAACCTCAACTTCCACAGAACGATATTGTTGAATTACGGGCAACCCAGAAGTCTGATTTTAATTCTTAAAAGTGATATGGATAGCTGAACATTAGCTCCATCAGCAAATATCTAGAGGAATATACCTTGATTGTTTTTATACATAATAAGAAAATATATATTTATAATACCAACCCACCAAGAAGAGAGATCTTAAAAATGCCCTACAGTGATTGTTGTGTACAGAACTATCTATTCCTTGAAATTTCAATTATGTAAAACTTTGTCAAATCCATGACTAGAGGAAAAAAACTGTTTTAAACTCAACAAATTCTAACAATACCACAAACATAGAACCATAAAAATATTACACTGAGTATTTTAAAAACAAGAAGTTTTCATAAACTATAGACATCATTGCCGTATATTGAAGGTGATGTTAAAGGGTATAATAATGAAAGCCAGCCTATCAGGCCTACAATAAATGCTACTATAAGTTTCATCCTTGTTGGTTGTTGATAACCCATCACTTCACCAAATACTGGAAATCCCATATGATTACAGAAAGCATGTGCTAAAATTGGTGCTATCACATGACCTACAATAATAATAAATATATGGCAGTGCATAGATTGAAAAATTCATCTCAAACAAAAATAAATATTTTTACTGCAAATAAAAAGAAATAACCAAAAAATTATTGTCCAAAAGTAATTTTTGAAGACCAAAGTCATTCAATTCTGAACAAGAATTCAAATAAAAATAATTGTTACAATAAGAAGATAAGGAAATGAGGTAAACTTCTGCTTATAATTTGTAAAGGATTTCTTCAAATTTAAGTCTATTTTAAAATTAGATTGTGTGAGATACTTAAAAATATATTGTGAATATTACAAACCAGTTCTCATAAATAAAAATGCAGAATAAGCACCAAATACTGTAGTATAACATAGTTGAAAACCTAAAAATCAAACGTTACATTAAACACTTATAATTCTAAGACAGGACACACAATTAAATTTACTAGCATAAAATCAATGGTTTATGCAAAAAGTAGTTTGAGGGGCATATTTTTAAACTTTTTACTATGAGGAAAACGTAGAAAATAAGCCTGGAAAATTGAGATGAAATTAAAACAAAACTGCAATTACATTTTCGTCATTTTCATTTCAAAAAGGTTAACAAGATGTATAAGTAAAAGCTTAAAGAACTTCATCATTTTCATACATACTTGATGTTTTAAAAGCTTCAAAAACTGGCTGTTGACCCGTTATCACCTTTTCTATCATATGGTGAAAATGAGCTAAAAATAACAAACATCAATGCATGTAGTTGCCAATGCCCTAACATGGAGGTAAAGTTACTATCTTTCTCAAATTTAAACTCATCTATGTATTTATCAATACACAGAGTATTTCTTTGTATCAATTTAAACATAGTTTCTTAAGTAGACAAATCTGTTTGCAAAAGTCAATTTTTGTAGCCAAACGTCAAAGGAAGCCATTTACTTACTTTAAAATTTCTATGCACATAAATATGGCGATATAACTTCGCTAGAAACATGAACCAGAAAAGATAGTCAATATATACTACTATTACTATACTATTTCTTGTATACAATCATAATTGTCTCCTTACCTACACCAAAGAATAGAGGACATAAAAAAACTGATGTTCCAGCACCAAATGCCGGCACTAACAAAGGTAACATACAGGCTCGAAATATGAATTCTTCTGAAAATGGTGCCTGTAAGAAAATTGATACCCATAAAGTAGCACAATCATTATACAAATAAGTATATAGCTAGTATTTCTTCACTGCATCAGATGGTTATACACCTAAACTCATATACTTGTAAGTTCATTTGCAAAAGAAGCTGATGAGGATTTTATATTATAACATGTCAGTAGCATGAGATGAGCTTCTGTTAATTCTCTCAAAACAACAAGGAGAGTTGATAAGGAGGTGATGAAATAATACTTACAACTAAATGGTTTCTAATCCACATTAAATTAGAGAAACAATTAGTCCAATATCTTGGTTCTAAATATAAAAACATATGAATCAATAAAAAGCAACCCAAACTATTCAAGTCTTGGGCTATTTCTTTCAACATTGTCACTAAATATTTGTTTGCAACAGTTATCAAAATCCTGGTCTTTAATCCATACATTAATGAGATTATGTGAAGAAAATATTGTTTGTTTAATCTAAACTGAAACAAAATGCGAAGTTAAAAACAAAAAAGCATTCATTTATTGCCCTCTCTGAACAACAAAATTTATTGAAAAATAGAAAAAAGTTCAATTACCTAAATAAAGTCTGAATACACCATCAGTATAATGTAATGATAAAGGACCTAAAAACAATATCTGAAAATAAATATGAACACATTTGAAATTTTTAAAATTTCCCCTGTTCAGGAGTTTCTTATATTGATATAAATAATGTGTTTATACAGAAGTGTCTATCTTTTTTTTTATCTTGATAGAAGAAATCTTAATACAAACCATGGTTAATAATAAAGGTAATATCATAGCTGGTATTAATCCTGTATATCTTATTCCTAGCCATTCTAATATACTGTGTGCCTGTAAAAAACACAGAACAATATTTTATCTGTTTACAGGCATATTATTGGTTTGGATAGATATTTTCATATTTGATACAATTGCAACTGCATAAGCTTATCTAAACGAATATAAGTTTTAACTATTTGATCTAATAGTTATGCAATAAGTTCCCTGTGCACTTTCAAATGGTCTTCTCCGAAAAGAAAGTAGCTTCCTCCATTGTTAGAAAGCGCATTATAGATCTTCATCGGAGGCAATTCCATAAAAAATCAGCTTCTATCAGATATGTGCAATATTTGAATAGCTTTTGTTCAAATTCAAATGTATGAATAGACATATGAATGGATTGCAATTTCATCCAAATATTGTATGTTACAATTAGATTACTCACATCAATGGAATCTTTTGTTTGACTAAAGCAATAGATAACTGGTGGAACTATTAATGATATAATACCAACGCTTATAAATCTTCTTTTGATTGTTTTAGGGTGGTCTCTGAAAAATACTCAAATCGTTAGATAAAATGATACAAATTTAATATCAAGTGTTTATTCAATAAATTGGGTATACCGATAATTCAATTATTAATTAATTAATGTATTCAAATTACCTTATTACAGAATATGCAAATAGAAAAGAACTTTCTGTCCAATTAATATAAATTAACATTAGAATATTTTTTTAAAAGCTGTCACCCGATAATTTCCTGCCTAATTTTAGTCTCTTCAACCTTATTCTTATGATAGGAAAGAGGCTGTAAGCTTGATATGTTACCTTTATCCAAATTATTATCTGCCGTTTTGGTAGATTTGTGTTACAATTTGGTAAATCTGTTAACGAAAAGACCAGCCTCATCGCCAGGAATGAAATGGTGCTGCGGCTCAAATTTTGTACTAAATAATTTGAAGAACTAAAGATACTGTAGTGTAAATGAATCAATCTAGAGCTGCTGATATGAAGACGGATTTGCTGGGGCTTAATTCTCACTTGCTATGGTTCAGCCCCACCCAAACGATGGGGCTGGTTAAGACTATCAAGATTTGTTTTGTTTTGATTTGAATAATGCATTGCAAATTTAAAATTTCCTTCTAGAAGTAAATCATTTAGGTAACAAGTAATTTTGCATTCTTGGTCATGTCTTTTGATGACAATCATTAATTTCCAATCACTAATGTCTAATCATTGTTATAAAATTTGAAAGAATATGGATAGCCGATAGGTTATAGGGGTATTCTGCTAACCGTTTACCTCCATCCATTACAGTAATTATTATCATGGTTGTTTTATTTTCGAATCTCCATTGATTTTCTAGGAGTTTGCTATCATTCAAAGTTAATGAATCGATCATTTTGGTTGTCTGCCTTTCGGACTAACATTTCACGTGTAAGACTGTAAACCTGAAATGGTCCTAAAAAATAAGAATTCAAAAAGAATGGGGCCATTCTTTTTCATTGTCATTACCTATTTTTGTTTACACTATCTGACCAAACATATAAGCTTCCTACATATATTATTGCAAACAGCAGACAAAGTAAAACTGCCTGCCATCCTGCGAGAGAAAATATAATCGCAGCCATGACTAATTTCATACTTGCTTATCTGAACACATTCCTCGACTTTGTGTTGACCGGAAACTCTGATGCCGGTGCGATAAACAATTTTGAATTAAATATATTCAAATATTTAAGCCTCAAATTATTTTTGAATTTTCCTTAACCATAGACATCAGTCTGAGTCATGCTTGTGAGTTAAAAGAGGTCTCTCTCTTATGATCATTACTTTCAAACAAGTAGGATCTGGTTACATTAATAGTTATTGGATAGTTACGCTTTCGGCGGATGTTGATGTTGTTTATGGCGGGAATCGCAATTATTCTACACATAAGAAATTAAGCTTATTTATATTCTCTCTCATCCCTATTATCACTCCTGAAGCACCACCAAAATGGCTGCAATATCAGAAGAAGAACTTTCTGAAGAATTTGATATGTTTGGCATCGATTTGGGTGAAGATGAGCTAGTTCTTAAATGTGAGTGTAAATCTCCTCAGCTCAGGCCAGGACAGAGTACCGCGTCCAGACTCAGTCTCAGCAGAACTTTAATTAAGAATGATATGCTGTGCCACATTCAGATACTAAATCATTGACAGTGGCATGGCTGACACTTTCTGATGTTAGATTAATTTCTGACCATTCTGAAAGTAACCGGCGAGTTGGAATCAAATAGGCGTCGGCCCTTAATTACACCCCTGTTAATCATTTAATTTGATTTAGCTTACTCCTGACAGGAGCCAAAAATGATTACAGTGGTGTAATCTATATTGGTGCATATGAGAATTCAACATTGAATTTCGTCAAGCTTAAAAAACTTCTTAGATGTTTCCTCAGATACAGTCAAGTAACCTAATTTCGTGGAAACCTATTATTCGTGGATCTCCGGAAAGGATTAATAATTTACATGAGCGATCTTGCGTGACCTCCGCATTAGTTTGTTTCGATAAAGTTGGGTCACCATTTTTTATTGGCCAAATTTCCTTATAATCCCAAGCGGTAATCGGAATTCCAAGTGTCGTCTGCTAGAATGTAGTCCAACGAATGAAGTCACGTGATCAACTAGCGGATTCCGTGTCAGCAGAAAATTTCTATGGAACACAAAGTGGACCATATTCTTATGTCGTTTCAGTGACTTTTAGCAATAAATCACGCTACGTATCTTATTTTGTCAGTCACTATTTTTTTTAAGATCGTGGTTATTTGAAGGAATTGTCACTAGTTATAATGAATTGATATTAAAGATAAATACTAAGAGAAGTTAATTATACCACCTGGTATCCATACAACGTGTTTTTCTCGACTTATTTATAGATCAAACATTGTACACGAAAATAGGTGACGCATTCTGCCACTGTTGCCGAGTTGGTTGCTCATGAAATATGGGTCAAAGTGAAGGATTCATAAAGAAAATCGAAATAAACCAATTTTAATTATTTTGTATAATATCTGAGGAAACATCTAAGACATAAAATTTTGTTTTCTTTTACTTATCTTTGACGAAATTCGGTGTTTAATCCTTATATCCACGAAAATAGGTTTTTTAAGTTATTACCAAACGAGATAACCCATGTTTATCAAAACAAGCAAATGTGGAGGTCACGCAAGGTCGCACATGTATCTTATTATTCATTTCCCAAGATGCACGAAAAATAGCTTAGATCGAAATTAGGTTACTTGACTGTATATTTAATTAGCTTTTAAAAAGGCAACTTGTTAAGTCCAAGAAAGAACTAATGTTTACTCTTACTTATAATCTTTCCAAATAATTTTTTTTTAATGGTTAGCATTTTCATGAACCACAAAAATGTAAAATAATTAACAAAATTTGATTCTTACGGAGCCCCTAAGGCGCAATTGTAAACAAATAATTAATTATTGCGTTTAAACGAAATAACATTTCGTTTTAACGAAATAATTCATTCGTTTAAATGATGTTATTTCGTTTAAACGAATTAATAAATAAATATGTTTACAATTGCGCCTTAGGGGCTCCGTAGATTCTCTATTTAATGTTCCACTTTATTATCCTAATAGTCTTTTTGATTTGTTTCCATTGTACTAACTACCCAAGTGGTTTAACCCATATATTACATGCTATAAAGAAAACAAAATATAGGCTTACACATTTATTTTTGTTTATCTATAGTTCTTCATATTGTTTTTCAGATTGTGTGCTTACATTGTTCTCAGAATTGCATTTTACCAGTTATCTTTTAATTCAAATGACAACTTAGAATGAATTAGTTTGATGAATATTACTGATATTTATCAATTTGATTCCACTCTATATAAGCTCTCATTGGTTTGTTTGAAAAGTTATTAATATCATCTTGTTTCAGTAAAGGAATTGTGTGCATTATATAGATTGTCAGCAACTGATATTGCAAATGAATGGATTGCTTTCTCCCAAACTAAGAAAGGAGTAGAATTAAATCAGGAGAGTTTGGACCAATTTGATAGAGAGGTAATGCTGGGTATTGTTGTAACTCATCTCACATGCTTTGATATGTTCTCATTTTACAATATATCCAAATTTAAAGAGCTATGGTACTGAAAAGTATTCAAGCCCAGTGAACAGGAGTGAGACGTCAATATCATGTATATTCTACAGTTTCAGGATTATAATTATATCAATCTGATGTGACAATATTTTGTTTAATGATTCAGACACATGTTCAAGTTGATAGTAGAGTTGACAAGTTAATGTCCAACAGATCAGTTGTTTAATTAGATTGAATCTAATGCTTAAAAACGATTTTGATTAATAACACCTAAATGTTCATCCTTTATAAAGATGTTTGAATGATTAAAGTAAAAAGATATGACTTTAGAAAGTCTAACTTATTTTTCAGAAACTGTCCAAAAAACAGAATAAAACACCCAAAACACCATTGACAAAGAAATCTAAACCTGTTATTTATGATATTAATACTATTCATAAAACGTAAGTAATGATTAGAAAAGTTATGCCAATTGGATTTCTGATGACTTAAACTATTGTTAAAAGATTTCTCTATAATCAGTAATATGATTATAGCTGATAATTAATTTATTAACTTGTCACTTATGCTGCTACATCTTCTTAATTATCTACTATATAGTATGTTATTCTTGTCTGACTCTTAGACAATTTATTTTATTTTGGCAGGCTTGACAATGTTAATGATGAAGATGAAGCACAGAAGTTATATAATTCTTATGGTACACCAACATCAAAGGTAATTTGTTTATATATGAATCAAACTTTTTTCATGGAGTTCTTTACCAGGGGGATCAGGATATTCCTCTAGAGCAAGTTTGGATTTAATGAATGAATATCAAATGAATAATTATTTGCATCCATTTTAAGCTATAATAAGGAAGAATTGGTACAAAATATATTGATGCTGTTGAATAATTTTTTTTCCAGGGATCAATGTCAAAGAAAAGACAACATACACCAGATTCTGGTCCAGTCAAGAGATTAACAGGAGTTGATCGAGTTTCTTCAGTTCCATTTTCACCTGCAAGTTTTTCTCCAGCCAGGTAACTAATTTGAAAGTATAATGAGCTCAACTTTTAAACTATGAAATAAACTTTAAATAAAGTTGTGTTCGATTAATTACTATACATCTATTGCATGGCGGTAAGATAGTGTTGTCTAGTGACATGTCTCTGCAACTGGACAAAGCCATATCAATTAGAAGACACAACCTCTCTCAATAGTCTTAAACCTGGATGGTTTTTATGTTATACTAACAGGGTGTGCTGGTGGATGTTGTTAATAACCACTACTGAGCTTATAGATGTTTGAATTTTTATTTGTATTATTTTCAAGAAATACCTTCATTATGTATTATCCATTGTGTTATAGTGCAACACCATCAAGAAAGTATGCATCAAGAACTAATAGAGGAGATGTATTAATGAGCTATCCTAATGATAATATTATATGGAAACCACATCAACAACATTGTAATATTAGCTATTATGATAATACTACGACTCTAACCTCTCAGTTTAAATATATGTTTCAAAAATTAACAGATAAAGCTCATGGTAAGTAGTTTGTTATAGTCAGGTTTTTGAGAAGTCACAATTTAAAAGTATATTGATTTTTAGCTAATAGCTCCCAATTCCATGATTCGTGTGATATGTGTTTTAACATCTAGTTTGTGTTTGTAAGGAAGCTAAAGCTTTTGTTTTGTGCTAATAGAAAATTGTATTCTAACAGCTGTTAAGAAATCTTGCCTTTTTAACGAAATCCAAATAGTGCTAATATGAAGTTTGTGTATCTATTTCCACTAAAGTGATTGACTTTTTATGTGTATCTGGGACAATGATAGCATAGACTTTCAACATTCCAATTTTTCAGCCAGACTTTTCTGTTTCCTGCAGTTCCACTAAAACTATGTGTTTTATCATATACTTTGAAAAAGCCATTAGATGTTTAAGAAAGTTTTGCATTAATCTTATATGTATTAGCATTATTAAAATTATAGGACATAGGCCCACATACATCTGATGGAAAATTGCAATGATGCAAATAAAAGCCATAAATGTCTCCAGCATTTCAATTTATAATTTTTGAAGCTCTGAATATTTTTGATGTAAAGGAAGTAAATTGACATAATTTATTATAAATAATATACAATTATAACACAACTTGTATCAAGTATTTTTTTTCTGTGATGGAGGTCTGTTACTGGGTATATTATAATATTGACTAGACCGTCTGCTAAATAATGGTGTATTGAAATTTAAAGAACGCATGACAGCTGGGCGGGATTTACGTGTTGGAGATCGAGATGTTTCTGATTTTATTGGCATTCCTCCATCTTTTTTAGGCTTCGATGGCAACAATTCACATATTTTCATATTTAATCGATTTATAGTCTCATCTTTTTCTTTATTTAATCTGTCTAAGTTTTTATTGTATTCCTGTACCCTAAACCTTTCATGACGTACATGTGACAAATCTTTATGCATTAAGTCTATTTGATAACGCATTTTGGCCCGTTCCGTTTCTAATTTGTGAATTTGTTCTGAATAGTCACTTAAATCATTAATAAGTTCAGTATTACGTTTTCCTTCTTTATCAAGTTCCTCACTTTGGTTATTGTATTTCAAATTCAAACTTTCCACTAAAACTTTTATTCCATTGTCACGCACACATGAATCAAATTGATCAAGAGAACTATCTATTTCGTCTTGTAACTTAGTCAGAATTAAACACACCTGATCTATCTCTTCACTTAATAACTGAAAACTCATATCATCTGGTAAATATGAACTGATATCATTGTTTTCTTTATTTTCATTGTCACTATGTGATATATATGGTTCTAATTTAAGATGTAATTTGAACAATTCTTCCTTCAATTTAGAATTGTTAAGATAGTCTGTCTGCTCTGTTTCACATGGAATAGATTCGCTAGTGGATACAGATTGTAGTCTCATTCTCTCATCTGTAATTTGGTTTGTCATCCAGTTGACAATTAATTTCTTGTCTTTCTCTGATAACTTTTTACTGTGTCCAAAATATTTATGTACAAATGTATGCACCTTTTTCTTCACATCTCCTCCATTGTTTTCTAAATCAGTTTTCTTCCCTGAAAAAATGGAATTTAATTTCTTGCCAGATTCTTGCTACAAGTGTTTCATCTCACCCAATGTGCTTTTAAGATGAAGGCTACTTCAGTGGAATAATAATATCTACCAATGATGGATGAATGAATCTTAAACTGTTTGATATTGAACTGTGGGACTTTGATATTGATTTGACTAAAATGAAGATTCATCAAGAAGAAATAACTGGGGCCTTTTCAACTTGCAACTGACAGAATTTGAAAGTATATGGATTTCAAACAACTGCTTACGATAGCCAGTAAATGGTCTATTACTAGAATTAGTTGATAGTTCATCAAGTGTAATATTTTTTTTAGTATGACCTGTTGTTCATGATGACTTTTATAGATCGGATAAGATGCTTTGTCCATCACTGGACATTTATCACCCTTAGAAAAAAAAATATTGTATTAAAGATTTTCCTACCATCTGTCTGATCACTGGGTACTTTTTTAGTAGGACTTGTAGATATATTATTTTCTGTTCTAGCTGTATGTCTGTCCATTGCTGATCTACATCGTGATTGTAAAGATGTAGCTAACCAGGGATAATCTTGTTGTATGATCTCTATAAAGTTATCAAAAGCTTCTGGTCCTCGTTTTGGAAGTAATTCTAACATTTTATATGCTTGTTCTGTTTTGGTTTTCTCTGCCTGTAAAGATAAAAAAAATATCAAATAGAATAAATGATAATATTTGACCAATAAAAGTAGGCTTTGAATTAGAAAGCCTTTTTATGAAGTGGAGTGTTTTTATTTTTTGTGTGCAAATAAACAGGGTTTGGTTAAAGAATATTCAAAATAGTAATAAATAATATTCATATTGTTTGAATTATTATCTTGTAGAAGTTATATTGTTCTACCTCTTTTAGATCACATTTATTTTTCATCTACAGATTTTGAATCTATCTAAACTATTTCTCAAAGGCTGTTTTTGTCTCTGCCTATGATTTCAATAGTTCAATCTTATTTTGGCAATATTTTAATGGCTAATCCTCCCTTTAATTTTGTTCAAAACTTCTTACCCTTATGTGCTCAATCATGTGAGGTTCAAAAATCTTTTTTTCATATAGAGCTGATAAAATTTCTTCACTCATAATGATATCCTTTGCAATATTCCTCATTTGAGTTTGTAACACTGATCTCTGAGGTTCATTCATTTTGTAGTATTTGATATGAACTCCCTCAGATATATTGCATATGTAACAGGTCTTGAAGTTGTCCACAAGTCATATTATTAATATACTATAAAACACTAGCAATAAACTTGACATGCAGTATGATCCTCATAAACATGCAACAATACAAAGACATAAAATGAAATTAACATGGTCCCCAAGATAATGTCCACACATTTTGAAGTCATTTTCTAATAATAAAAATGTTTAGTCCTAAAATCTATGGAGATTAACCTAATCTAACAGATAATCTCATAACAAAAGCTATTGTGTCAAATTGGTTTTCATAGGACTAAACCTGTAACCCTATCAAGTATCCAATTGCAATGATTTGAAATACCTTGAATGTTTAAATAGCTAGTGGTAGTGCATTTACTGATTTGTTTTTGGGTACTTGGGCCCACAAAACACATAATGTTCTAAATTTGAAAAGCGTTCTATGAAATTTCTAAATGATAAGACTATTGCTTGGCGAAAAAACATTTAATTTGGTCAGAATTAATTTTCTCCCGTATGTTGATTTATTTAATTCAAATTCAGATTTTGTTTTAGGTTACAGTAGTTTAATCAATTGGCTAAGTGGCCAAGAGGAATTTGATATTATTTTGTAACATGATCTGTTATAGTTGAGTAGTTTATACACCCCTCTTGATATTGATTTATCTGATTATACAGGATTAGTCAACTGGAAACAGTCTTGTGGGGGTGTTTATATGATGCAAGTTTTCTTATGGGACATCAAACATGTTTTGACATGTTCGACATTTCTACAAAATAAAACTAATGTTATTACATGTACCTTGAATTCCAAAATCTGCTACATCATTACATATATTTGGCAGGAAATGGTATTTCCTTCACCCAAATTTTTTTCCATCACATTTCTTCAAGGTGCTTTGTCAAAACAGATAATTTATATAATATCATACTGTTTCAAGTTTCGCATGTAAAGTTAGAATTTCTGTCCTAAGATGCTTTGCTTTGTCATTTCCATCACATTGCTTTAAGATTTTTTGTCAGAACTTAACAGTTACATCTGATTGTGCATACTATATTTATTGTTAATGTGTTCATCACATAGTCCAATTTCATGAAATAACTTCCAAAGGCAAATTGAGATTTTGTATTTCAGTTTTAAATGATATAATAGAAGATATGGCAAGTCAGATACAACAACATAATAATATAGAAGAACTATCTCATGTAGCTTTACCAACTCAGGTATTATTACTTATTTAATAGAAGTTCATCTTAATGTACCAGATACATCATCAGCATCAAGGCTGCTGGTTGATTAGCACAGGGTTTGTTTTATCCAGAATATTTTATCAGTATATTAATAAGGGGTGATATGAATACGTGTGCTTGAATTCAGTGATATGAGTTTTTGATAAGAATGTTTTATTTTGATCTAGGAAGCAGTAACTATTTGCGGAAGAGTATGTTGTGATAGTATTGGTAAATTAAATAAGAAATCAGTTGTATTAGAAGGATCAAGAGATACGTCTGCTGGTAGAGTTATTCCCCTTGAATTAAATTTTTTATCAGAGTACTCATTATTTCCTGGACAGGTATTACAATTTTTCTGATTAAACTTTTTTGAGTATTCTAGTGTTCTTCTTAAAATTAGATAAGATTTGAAAGTAAAATGTTGATCTCTTGGCAGTGCCTTAGGATACCTGAACCAAATGAAATATTTTCTGATTTATCAAGGACGTGCTCCTCAATTAGTAGATTTCAACTTCTGATATCTAAGCTTAAATATAAGTAGGTTGAGATAGCTTGATATACTGTTCATTCAGTGTCAGAACTGGACTAATATATACAGAAGGAAGCATCTAATCTATTAGTTGTTTTAGCCTTTAATACTCATGACAAATATGTATATGTAAATGATAATGAACTATTTTTGTACAATTTAGATTGTAGCAGTTGATGGTTTGAATAGTTCAGGACAAAAGTTTATCGCTCAAAATCTACATCAAGTAAGTTCAACATGTTGATCTTCTTTACTTCTTATGAACACTCAAAATTTCTTTCCAATGAAAATATGAAGGCCAAATTTGATGACTTATTTTAAGCTGTTTTTATAGGCCGTTGTATATTGCCCCTGTCTATGATTGGCTTGTGAACACAATAGAGACTACGGTTTTTAATGAAATTTGGCGTAATTGTTGACAAGTTTGAATTTGAAGATCTTTTGATGAACAGTTTTTCATTATTTGTTTTCAGTTTTCATTATAACAACAATCATACACAGGATAAATTTGTATTATTTCTTATTTCAGAATGTGTCATTACCGTTTCCTGTTTCTAAAATAGAAGGTGGTAAGTATATTTAATGTGTTTAGTTTGTTTTTAATTCTTAAAGACTGTAAATATATAACACAGTGAAACGAAATGATGATTAGATTGATCTGTCCAATGAAAGATAACTGAAAGACAGGATACTTGTAAAGGGTTGTATCAAGTATATGGTGTTTGAATATTGCACCTCTATGACTTTATAATGTTAATATTAATTTCAGATATGAATATCAACATAATGCTGGCTGCTGGTCCCTTTACAACATCAGATACACTAACATATGAACCATTAGCTGATTTCTTACAGTTACTACAAAAAGATAAACCTAATGTATTAGTCTTGGTAAGGTGGAGTTCTTATATTAATTTTCACATTTCATCTTGGTGATGTAGGGTTGCTGGACTGTCATTGAAAGGGCTTCTTGTTTTTCTGAAACAGGATGAATACTTTATCAAAAAAAATTAAAGACTATCATATTTGAAAATGACAATGCAAAAGGATGTTGTTGAGAGGTTGTAATATATTAACATCTGGTTTAGTATAGCCTTCCATGTTTGAATGTATGATTTGTTGTTGTAGATGGGACCTTTGGTTGATAGTAAAAATACTGAAATAGAGGTTAGTTAAATTTCATTTTACTTGTCATTTACTTTATAGTTTTATAAGATTGTGTACATTTCGAATGGTTATAAAAACAGTTTAAACCTGATACTTTTTGTAAGCTGTTGCATTCTCTTGGCCTGTATCACTTTCAAAATAGTACTAATTTTGTCTCTAAGTATTGTACACATTGGTAAAGTATGTATTACAGTAAGTCTTTAAATTGATATATTACAGAAAGGAAATACTGATTTTTCATTTAAAGATATATTCAGGAAACAGATGGATGATATTGTTAATGTAACAGAAAAGTAAGTATATTTTCTTAGGAAAGGTATATCAAAAAATAAATTAACTGATATCATTATTGCATGACTTATATTGTATATTATATTTGTAGGTTAAGCTGTGAATTAATTATATTACCATCATATAGAGATGTGCATCATGATTATGTTTATCCTCAACCACCCTATATTTATAACACATCTAAATCAGTAAGTTATAATTATATTCATCAGTTGTTTATTTTCAAGATACGTAGACTACAAGATAGATTTCAGATGCTGATAAGAGTTATTAAGGAGATGAATTGAAAACATTTTGAGAATTAGTTATGTTAAATATAAACTGTATAATACAACTTATAATTTCAGCATGTCCATCTAATGAGTGATCCATGTACTATTAATATTAATAATATGATAATTGGTATGACATCAACAGATATATTATTTCATCTTGGACAGGAAGAAATTTCACAAAGGTAAATAATTCTTATGAAACCACACTTTGTTCCCTTTGCATGCATCTAAATAAGCAAGCCTTTTGAAGAATTCTACTTTGAGAGACTATGTAATTCATAGTTGTGAATAAAACATATGACACCTTTTCATTTGATTCTTGATAAAAATCTAATACCTTCACATGTGAAAATATATAAAACTATGTTTAAATGTGTATTATAGTGTAGCTGGATCTAAAGATAGATTAGGCAGATTAGCTCAACACCTATTATTACAACAAAGGTAAGACCTACACCACCCTAAAACTACCAAGCACTTAAATAAAGGTGCATTGAATATGAGGAAAATAACTTAAAAAAGAGCAAATTAATGCAAGTCAGCCTTCTGGATTGATATCAGATGTTCTGATAAGAATATTCACATGTGCTTTGAAGACTATGGATAAGCAGACAGACTGAAAAAATATGAGTGACAAAATAAATTGCTATGGACAATAATACTGAGTGAACATTTGATATGTATTTTGTAGTTATTATCCGTTATATCCACCTAATGAAGATATTAATATAGATTATGATCATTATGAAGATTATGGTAGAATGCCTGTTACACCTCATATTTTATTATTACCCTCAGATCTAAGATATTTTATCAAGGTAATATTCTTTTAGTGGAATTTATATAAGTCTCATGTTAATTGTAATACCATGTTGATTTATTGTGGTCCTAAGATATAAGGTCTGTATTAATAGTTATCTCCCTTCAGGAGATGGATGCTTAGCCTTAAAAAGATTGAGGTCATAATCCAACCCATTTTTGAGGAAGTTGCGGTGGACGCTGTGTTTAATCCCTAGTTCTAGATGCACTTTCGGATTTTTCAACTCTGTCTTTCCTTGTCAGAGGGACTGACATGGTAAAAGCGTCTTGTTAGGATGGGGAAAAACGAAGACCCTATATGCTTACAGACTGTGACGTTAAAGACTTTGTTAGTAACAAAAAAGAGGCTAATACTGCTGTGTTAGCAAAACTTTTTTTCATATTGTTGCCTGTCTTTGTTAGATAAATTAGGTGTAGAAGAGAAGTTCATGAAACTCTTATTTATTTCATTTTCAACCGATCCTGGATAACTCAGCCACCTACAGAACACTTTGTTTTAAAGATAAGTTGAATAAAGAGTCATTTGGTGAGCAAAATTCTTTAATGCGATACATCTTACTTATATATTATAGGATATCAATGGATGCTGTGTTGTAAACCCTGGTAGATTGGCAAAAGGACAAGTTGGTGGAACGTTTAGTAAATTGATGGTAAAAACAACAGAAGTGCACACTAGTGGTTCCCTATTACCATCAATATCAGCTCAAATACTTAAAATATAGTTAAACACACTTAGTGCTATTTATTATAATATAATGTACATAGTATAATCATTATCAATATTTTAGTATTGTGTACAGTAAAATCTGACAGCTCAATACATGTAAATTGTTTTGTGACATTTAAGATAAATATATGAAGAAATAATGAATTTCAGTGTGTAAAGTCAATGTTATATTTTTCTTTCATTGAAACTTATCCAAGAGTCAATAATTTTGCATCTGTTTTGAAAAATATTTCTACAAACTGAATAGTATAAACTTTATACCAAATTCTTATTATAGACAAATTCTAATTCCAATATTTCTGGAACAATGTATCATACACTAAACTATCACAGTATATCAGAGAACTTCTCTGTTCAAATCCTCAGTCCTTGGCATCTCCTATACCATCAGCATTAATAGCAAACATAGCTTCTGATTCTGGTAAACATGGCGAATCATATATCTTACAGATTCTAGTTTCTCCTCTTCCCTTTCGTAAATATAATCTGAAAAACCAATTGAAATGTAGAAAATTAGGCAACTTACCCTTTGCAATCCAGAAATGCAAGGGCAGCACAGGTTTTCTAGTTTATGTTATCTCTCGGTAGCGTCTAAAAGAGACTAAGTTAAACACTGCAGCTTGCAGGACCTTAAAAATATGATTTTCAACAAGCTAGTTGAAGCTACATCTGGGAGAATCTGAGCTCAATAACATCAGTCATTTGACCTTCCAACACAAAGTCCTGTAACAGATCTGATATGGCTGGACTTGTATTTCTGGTATCTGCAATGTTAAAGGTAGATTTGAATCAGATATTTTGGTCATAGTAACTGGAGATCTTACCTTGTTGTAGAGGCATGAGCCATGATATTTCCACCAATAGGTTTTTTAGGGTCAGCAGAGAACATAGCAGCACCATCTACCTGAGCTACAACTTGATTAGTAATAACAACGGCTACTCCAAACTAAAATACAAAACTCACTTAACAGCTTATTTTATCTTTAGTATGTGTCCAAATATAAAGAGCAATTATGTTATGAGTCAATATAATATATTAACATATTTTGTATCTAAAAAAAGCCAAACCTATATTATGTTTATATAACATATTTGACAATTACATGTACAACCTAATATCTGAGCTTCATTCAGAGGTGCCAAACGTATAACCATGATAAATGGTAGTCTCTAACACCCAGACATCTCCTGTCATTGCGGTCATAATGCACACAGAAGCTCTAACTTTTGTCCAGCTCGTGCAAATTTGCTACAGACAAAGTGGGACAAAAGGATAGATTGATGGGTTAAAGAGACCTACCTCATCAGCTAATCTTAATAACATACGAAGAAATCTAGCTAAATGATTCTGACGAGCTGATAACTCTCCCCTACCAGAATAATCTGTTCTATATAAAGCTGTAGCACTATCAACTATTATCAACGCATATCTAAAATTTACAAAATTAAAATGATTCTCCATAGTTTCGTGCACCTCTGAACCCTAGTTCAGTTAATTATTTTAAGGCGAATTACATCAATATCTCAAGCTACGACATAACAACATCAAATGGACCACTCAAACATAATAATTTCTTACCTAGATTCACTCATCATAGCAGCAGCCTGTATCAGTAGCTGAGATTGATGATCACTGTTATAAGCTCTAGCATAGGCTACATTATCCAGAACATCACCACCAGATAAACCATATCTACAACACATCAAACACTTGTCTGGTTCATTCAATGTCAACATTAGTATCAAGGAAACGTTGGGTAATATACCGAAATTTAAACATTCAACTTTTTGCAGACAATACAGGATCCGCTATATCTGCAAGCTGCATTTGTTGGGATATGAAAACAATTTGTTTTATAGTATTTACCTTTCAGCTACTGCTAACAATCTCTCTGGTCTAAATGTTCCTTCTGTATCAACATACATAGCTTTACCTTCCCCACCACCCATATCAATAGGTAACTACAAAATATGTATACATCAGACTAAACTCAATATAATAATGAACATTCTGCCAACTGCCTGAATAAAGGTAATGCACTCTATTGAACAGAAGAAATGTCATTGTCACATTTTGTTTCAATAACTATAATTATGGTAGATACATATGTATCCAGCCTTTGCCATCATTCCACATTAACGACTAGGCTCGACAAAGTGGATAGTTTTAAATCTATATCACATATACATTTCATTCCAATATTTACCTGGCAAGTTACAGCTAATGTATGACATAACTGTGTTTTCCCTGTTCGAAATTCCCCAAATATTTCTGTTATTGAACCAGTTTCTATTCCACCTAAAAATTAAATATTTCACAGTCAAATTTAAAACTGATGGTAGTCTCCCCTTATGCATTTTCAGCTTTTAGACATGTTTTATCTGACTATCTAATTTTCTCTAATATTTCTATGGAGTAAGCTTATATTTTATCATAGTATATCAAATCTAACTTACCCTGTAAAAGTTTATCTAATTCTTTAGATCCAGTAGTAACTTGAATAATTTCTGAACGTTTTTGATGAAATTCTGTAGCTGTAGTGAAACCCATTGGCACCAACTTAGCTGCTTCCACCTAAAAACAATAACATTAGAGAATGTATAACAAATATTATCAAAGCATTAATTCTTAATCTTAAAAAACAGTTTAATTTCTTGAGTGCAAGACTGTAAAAAAAAATAATAAATTCCTAAAAGAAATTAAAGCTTACAGAAACCTGGATATCTAAATTAAGTTTCATGCTCTACTTTAATTCTGCCGTTGATTGAGCTAATGAATTTGAGTAAAACCATGCAGCGTACAGAATTTGTTCAGATTTCCAAATTTCAAGCATATGTAGCCTGTCATACAGTTTCTTGTTTCTTGTCCCATCCATACTTCTGGACAATTTTTCCATATTAGCCTCTCCAACTACAATCGCCGACAGGCAAATTTAAGTGGAAAAATCTGCTCCAAATTGTATTTACCAAAATTTTATCAGCTTTAGCTTCACTGATGCCCTTTATAGCTAATAACATCTTCTTTGGTACAAATGCTACAGATTCTACTGTATAAAATCCAGCTTCCTCTAATTTCTTCAGATCATTATTACTTATACCATTACCCTATAGAAAATAAAGAGAATACAACATGGGTGGTCTAGTCTGAACTGTATCTTCATTATGGAAAATTTACCTCACAAACACTATAAATTAAAAAAAACCCTATCGTTCATTCAAAAATTGTATTGGTCCTCCAAAAATAAAATCAGAATGGTTTATGCAAAATGTAATACAATCAAAAGAAGGAAGATAGATTTTCTTGAATTAGGACTGATGATAAAAAGGTTCTGAAAAGTACCGGAATATTTTATATTAGACATGTTATATTCCAAGGTCTAATGGCATTTTAAAAGCACAGCTTATAGATTAATATTAAAGACAATTTTATGGATGGATACTTCTAGAATACTTATTGCTTTCATTTACTTCAAGTTAACATGTTTTTTGTATTTGTTGAACCTGAACCTAGATAATTTTTATACCTTTTATATCACAGTTTATGCCATACAAATCAGATACGCAATACAAATACTATGAATACCATATACCAAAGTTACAGACTTTAGACGGTACCTCTAACCTTTAACCATAGATGTAACAATCATTCTTAAACAATACATATAAGCTCACTGTAATATTATAGACTTACTTCTAGTTTGGCAAGAGGAAGAGGACCAAATATTTCTTCTTCACCATCCTGGACATGTTGAACTGCTGTTGTTCTTTCAGCCTGCATGGCCATATTTTCAACACAATAGTAAATTACTATCTAGTCTTTTAACAACAACACAACTGGAAAAAAAATTATAACAATTATAACATGTAAACATGTTGGTGGACTGACATGAAAAAATCAAAGAGGATTATGGGGATGGTCAATTAATGACCTATAATTGAGTCAGGCCTAAAGGCAGGTTATTTCTCCGCATACCCTCCAAAACAGAACCATGGAAATATAATAAGGTATGAGGTTTGACTTTGGAGAATTTCGAAATTAAAACACTTCCCTTCCTTCAGTGGCAAGCCCCTTCAGTGGCACTTTCCGGAGTGAAAATCCCACTCTGTAAAATCATATTTGTATTTCTTTTTTGGTTGGTACTTTCAAACACCCGATGACATTTAATCTCAGTACTTTTCAATTTCTAAACTTCATACGAAATTTATACGAATTGAAAAATAAGTTAATAAGTGATTAAAATATAAATGCGAACATTTGAATTTAAATAAAACATTTTATTTTTAACATTGTGTTCAGACGAGACAGTAGTCGTAGGGCTTGGACAGGATTATTTCAAAAAGCAAGACTGCTATACATTTAATTTATGTCAAAACCTTGCATCTATTGTCACAAACAAATCTGCCTATGTATTACCAAGGATAGTCGGACAGTGTTAAAATGTAAACAAACCCTACACAAATTTTACTATTTCCCGCTAAAATGGGTAAATAAAGGGAGATAACTTCCCTATTTGACTCGGCCATCCAGACGTTTGATCAAAATCGTGCACCGGAATAATTTCTCACATTGATATGAAGCAACTAGATCTACTAAACAAGAGGATCATTTCATTTATGAACCATATTAAAAGAAGGTTCTAAAAAGTACACCGAGATAAACAGACCTTGGTCGACTGCTAAAACGTTCTTTTGTTACAAGTTCATTATGTTATCTAAGTAGGCTATGTCATGTCATGAATAAGCCTATAGCCTATACGTACCGGTAAGGGTTTCTTTGTCAAAAATTTGACAAGTTTGGAAACAAGAATATCTCCAAATAAAAGCCTGTACTGTCAGCACACGACGATCTCAATAATGTATAACAATTTTGCAGTTGAAGTAAGAAAGTAAAAGTTTTACAGAAAAACTCGTGTTCAGATGGGTAAAGTAAGAACAGGAGTTACAATGATGTTTTACAAGAGGAGACTCGTGTTCAGATGGGTAAAGTAAGAACAGGGGTTACAATGATGTTTTACAGAAAAACTCGTGTTCAGATGGGTAAAGTAAGAACAGGGGTAACAATGGTGTTTTACAAAGAAACTCATCTTCAGATGGGTAAAGTAAGAACAGGAGTTACAATGGTGTTTTACAAGAGAGACTCCTGTTCAGATTGGTAATGTAAGAAAGTAAGAACATGAGTTACAATGGTGTTTTACAAGGGAGACTCATGTTCAGATTGGTAAAGTAAGAAAGTAAGAACATGAGTTACAATGGTGTTTTACAAGAGTGACTCCTGTTCAGATTGGTAATGTAAGAAAGTAAGAACATGAGTTACAATGGTGTTTTACAAGGGAGACTCATGTTCAGATTGGTAAAGTAAGAAAGTAAGAACATGAGTTACAATGGTTTTTTACAGGGGAGACTCATGTTAAGATGAGCAAAGTAAGAAAGTAAGAGCATGAGTTAAAATGGTGTTTTACAAGGGAGACTCATTTTAAGATTGGTAAAGTAAGAAAGTAAGAACAGGAGTTACAATAGTGTTTTACAAGAGAGATCCATGTTCAGTTTGGAAAATTAAGAGCAGAAGTAACATTGGTATTTTACAAGAGAGATCCATGTTCAGTTTGGTATTTTACGAGCAGAAGTAACATTGGTGTTTTACAATAGAGATCCATGTTCAGTTTGGAAAAATAAGAGCAGAAGTAACATTGGTATTCTACAAGAGAGATCCATGTTCAGTTTGGTATTTTACGAGCAGAAGTAACATTGGTGTTTTACAATAGAGATCCATGTTCAGTTTGGTATTTTACGAGCAGAAGTAACATTGGTGTTTTACAAGAGAGATCCATGTTCAGTTTGGTAAAATAAGAGCAGAAGTGACAATAGTGTTTACAGACCATATAGTTTCAATAAGTAGAAATTAAATTAGGAAGATAACAAAAATCACTGCTCAAGATTACAAAGTAAAGTAGACATGTACGTATATTGATATTTATGAAACATAAATACAGTGATAAGATTATCGTTTAAAATTTTTAATTGGGGTGCGGAATACGGTTCTACAACTCTATTTTTTATCAAAATCATTGCGAGGAAATCTGTAGAGGATTTCACGCGGATCAGATATTCATCGGAAATCGCTTATTGTTTATGGAACAGTTTTTATTGCAAAAGAAATATGATACATGGACAAAAAGACACTTAAATTTAACCATGTCGTGTCGTTATGAACGCATGGCAGCTTTTTACTTCCGATTTCCGGTGTTTCCTTCAAATTGAGAACTGATCTAATGGATGAAAAACGAAATAAAAACAAAATGATGAGACGTTTCTGCAGGCCTTAATACGTGTTTGTTAGTTTCTAAAATCCGATTCAATGTAATTTGATTACACAAACCTCTGTTGAATTTTAAAAAGAAATGTAAAGATGTTCTATTTGAGACTAATTGCATCAGTTATTAAAATGGAGTATTCCCCGTGGCTGACATTCGAGATGGTGTGAATCATAAAAAAGATGCCACAAATGCTTTAGGCATGAAATCAACACCAAAATAGCCAGAGTTAATGCTGAAAGACACAAGACAATTTGTTAGTCATTATAGCAGTTATTTTGTAGTTAAAATGCCAGAAGGTAATGTGTGAATGGGATGGAATCGAAATTAACACTTTCATGTATAGTCAATAATAAAACAATGTTTGTCATGACAATAGTGTTGTTTACTTTTGGTTATCTTAAAAATCTTTTATTTTTCGCTAACAGCTTTGACTAAGAAACTTCACAAAAATTCGTAAGGGATTAACTTTAACATGGGCATTCGGACGACTGGACGAGGGTTCAGAGGGGTCAGCTAGAGCCCAACTCAGATTACAAAAATATTTTTTTAACGAATCAGTGAAAATATGATATTCTAAATTCGATGCGAAAATCAAATAAAGGTAGGGTTGTGGCCTAATGAAACCCATTGGTCCGAGAGTCCAGATTTGGCCAGTCCATCTGATCGTGCTATCAGGTCCGATGTAAAACAACATCAGGATATAGTATAATGTGAAAGAAATTAAATACAACTAGGAAAAGTAAATGAAGCTATTTGACCTGTGTTGAAAATATCAGTAACATTGTCATAATTGACCAGAAATGTCAGTCATTGCATTAAAATACATTATTAAATTTGCTGCTCTATAACCACAGGGGAATCAAGATACCCGTGGCGATTTAAGTCGGCTTAATTCTCTCGCTCTCGAATCATACCATGCGTAAAATATGGTGGAGGCACGTGCGAAAGAACGATAGGAAAATTAGATGAAAATCTAGCAATTTCACACTATTGAGCCTTAGTTTTTAAATGGTTGTAGAAAACGAGGTTGGTATAAAGAAATTGAGACTAGTGAAATTCATTTGGGAATTGAGTTGGCGGTGCTAGGGTTAATATGTTATATCATAAAGCGAAAGGTTATAGCAATGCTGTCAATTTGATAATAACCCCTGAACCCTTGTTTCTAGGACTAAAAGAAAGAGACAAGGCTTGTGGCAATTAGAGATGTCTGTTTCATTAAGGAATCTCTCGGCTTGGACTAGCGGGCGGTCGTTTGGATTTCATCTTTCCAGTAATTGTCGCTTATTCATCAGATGGGCAATCCCCCGCGGCTCTTGATTAATAACCATGCTTGGCACTGAAAAAATACTCTATTCTGTTTGATCTTTGAATTTGAATAATTTTAGCGAAAATCTTTTTGTTCCTATTTTGTGAGTCGATATCTTGCCTGGACGTCATGAAAGAAATCAACAAAGAAATGACATCTTCATTGTTTAGCTAATATTATCCTTAAAGATGTGCTGCACAATGATTTAAGTGGAAAATTGGAAGAAAGGGTGCAATGATATTGAAAACGGACAACGTTCTATTATACCGTTATCATTCCGCCAGTTGAGTATGGAGCTGTCAAACTATTATATCTTCTTGATTAATGAGGCAAAGTATTTCTCTCTTTAAATGACTAAATTAAACAAAGTCAAACTTCAAAGCCAAGATAATTTAAATAGCAGTCTCGCATAAAAAAAAGTCAGGAATTATTTGACCCTAATCTGACAGGAGGATTTCTGCCATAGAATAACCTTATTTAAAACACTTCAATTATAAAAAGATTAGGTCTGAAGCGATTACGTTATCATATCCAGATCAGCTCAGAAAAATTGATAAGAAATTGTCAATGATTGATTTCTTTGGTGATCAAACAGATTTTAAAAAGTACTAGCAACCATTTAAAGGGAGACAGTCCTAGTTGCTGGTGGCTATCAGTCATTCTACAGTATGGTCAATCTAATTCAGTCATGATCCTATTTTTGTGAAATTGGTGTATCTTTACGCAAACTGAATTAACATTGATGGATTCTCCTATCGACTCGACAGGCAAGTAGGTATTAACAAGTTATTTGTCAAGTGGGGTTTATATATGAGAATGAAAACCAATTCTGGATCATGTACAGGGGTAGATGGGGGTTGGAACACTGTTTCTTCCTCTCTTTCTTCTCACAAATAGTAGCTGCTCCGTTGGCTTGAAGGCCCTGCGTGCGCCGGTTCCTCCAGAGATCTCTGTCGTGGGCAATTGTTATTTGCTTTCCAGGAATTAACATATTACATGTATAGATACAATTGCAGGATTGCAGAAATTATAAATCCTGTATATTATATTTCAGTCAACCAAAGAAAATACGAATTAAATATTGAAAAGTTAGAAGCTTCCGAGACAATCTTAATAAATTTAGATCTAGATGTATCGTTTCGTGTTTGTTCTGCAGGAAACAATTCATATATCAGATCATGGATTAATGGTAAGTGGAGTCTCATGCTGAAATAGAACGAAACACCCATATTTGTGTTTTAATCAGATTGCTTGTTATTGGGGGTCTTTCTATCAAATAATTAAAAAATTCATGCACCATATTCACAAGGCCATATTTGGAAGGATATTGTCGTCGCTTCAGCCCACCCGCCGTTTAAATTTTTTTTAACACATAAAAACTGCAGAACTGGTCTGATAAGTACCATTTTTCGATGCACGGTTTGTGTTATTTCCCTTGACTTATTGTTATACTAAGCTGGAGCTTATAGAGAAAATAATTAGTATGTAAGCTTAAATGGTTAAATTGTTAAAAAAAATAATGCTGCAATGAATATACTGCTACGTTAGCGTATTGCCTTCTTGCTACCAAGGGCGTACTCGTTGATTAGAGTTTTGTCCCTTGATATTGACATACTTTTGTAAAAAAAAAATTCCCTCCCCTAAAACGTATATAATAGTAATACTCAATAAGCCACCGTTCTTTTTTTTCTATTTTTTAAAGACAACGCTTCCACTTATCATATTTTATAACATGTCGTTTCAATTTTATGTACAACCCTCGTTGATATTTGAAACTTCGGTTAGCGAGACAAATGCCGTTCAGGTCGCCATGATAAGAGTGAGTAGGTTAGCATAAAGTGAGAGTGCAGCTCAGAGAGTTTTTGAAAGAAGAATGATGGTATTATTATTACAAAGGCTTTCTCTACAAGTCCCAAAAGTCTAAGACGTTAAAAAGGGATCATCATTATTGCAGCTAATATATATTTTTTTATTGTCATCAACTGTATTCAAATGCATAATAAAAACAAAAATTAAATCTATCAATAATATAAGTTATACTTATTTTAGCGCAATTGTTAAAAATCGATTAGGTGGTTGGTATAGTACGTGATAATTTTAACTTATCCTTGGACGGTTCTCAGTAAATTGTGTATTAATAAAATCCCATATTGTCTCGTGAAAGTTTCACCAATGAAATGTTTTTATTAGAAATGTTAAACTCTACCCTATTTTAGGCTAATCATACCATTAGATTATATTATGAAGTTGCTTTATCTTAGAAACGGTTGATGCATATTATAGACTTAAGTTATCTTGAAATAAAATCATTTTGTCAACATCTTTGTTAGATTAACATGCATTACAAAGCCACATTGTGTGTATTATATTTAGCTAATAATCGATTCATTACAGGCTAGCTAATTCAGTCAAATTACATCAATAATGTAATTAAGGCTTTAATTTTAGAACTAACGGTAGAAAATAGCGACAGATGTCCATATTTACATAGAGTTATCGTTCTTTGTATCATGTGGAGTAATATTGTATAGAAAAAAATAATTCCTTTATTTCGTGTCACATATGGCATTGACGGGTCTTGAGTTTTTCAAGAACGCTTATTGTTTTGTGAAGAAGGAATGCTCACTGTGAAAATTCAGCCCGCATATCAAGAAGAGTGTATTGTTTGACAAAAACTATTAAGTGGTACTATAAATATTTAAAGACTTTTTGTTACGTCAGGACACTTGATACAGTCTCGCAAAAACTCGTGTCATTGTTTCCAGACGATCCTGTCTTATTGTCTGGGTAACATAATACCAATTCCTTAAAACTCGCATGACAAGGTAATATTTTAATTCGACTCTCTCGGGAATCAAGTGTGACCTTTCCAATGATTTAGTGGAAAATGGAGGATACGTAATTACACGTAAGGAGTTCTCTTTCTAATTTCTTGTGATTTACGTTAATTCACTTATCGAACGCCACAATTGAAATAGGACCGACAGCGATTTTGTGAAGTAATGAAATTTGTGGTAATTAAACAAAAAATGGCGAATATCATTAATCATTTGTTAATCACATGTCACGTCTAGATCCCTTTTTACAATATGACGTCATTAATCACCATTTTTTCCGCTCCAGTCGTCCCAAGCGTGATTGTGAATATAATATTTTTTCTAATCTCAATTAAAATTTTAGCCGCCATTTAAAAGAGACAAGTTGATAGTGACACTACTGACAATACAATTATTTGATATTGACATTTCATCCTGGCAGAAACCAACACCCATCAGAGACAGTCGGGCTACAAAGAAAGCGCTGAAATTTTAAAAGTTACAGTTTTTAGATCCTTTAAGTCACTGGTTCTCAACTTAAAATGTTTCCCTTGGGTAATAGCGGACAGTTAGGGGTATCGAAGTTCAAGTGCTGAACCAATTATTCAAAGTTTTCTTTCAAGGGCTTAAACTCTACCCACTATAACCCATCCATTGTCCAATTTTCATAAAACGTTTTGGTTCTTCACTTTGCTTATCTCAGGCAAATGGGTATGACGGGTATAAAGGTTTAAATAATTTGTGTGGAATGTAAAGGTCTTATGGCTAGATTTATATTTCATAATGGCTAGCATTTATTAAATATATAAAACCATCAACGGTTACATCTTAACATCTGAGAACTGTTGGAGATTACTTAGTTAAACATTTTGGAAATTTAAAACAAAATAATATAAGTCTGAATTTAGAGTAAATATAACTAAATTTCTGGCCACGATTCTTTAAGTAGGACTGTCCACTTCAGAATGCCTACTTCAAGTGTGAAAAAGTAGTGCGTCTACTTCAATTTTTTTAATAAGAATATTTTAGTGTTTATTTTGTTAGTAATAAACCGTCTGGTCCAGTCTGTAAATAGATGTTCAGGACAACCCGGACACAGAAGTGAAATCTGCAAGTTTGTTAGTCAGCTTAGTTTCTTTCAACTTCGATATCATGACAATTTAGTCAATGAGCGCATATCAACCCCGGTGTTTGTCAAAAATAGTCAGTATAAGAAGTCGAGTTTGTCCACAATAAGAGTGAGAAGTGCAAAATCGAGTCGACTTACGGGACCTCAGTTTACAGTTCCATCCAAACGACTAGATGCTTTCGACCTGAGAAGCAGAAACCGGGTTTAAAAGGTATCACCTCAACCTATGCCCGGATTGAACCCTGGGTTTAACAGGTAAACGAACCGGACTATCACACTATTCTGTGCAGTTTTAAAGACACCCAGTCAAAAGTAACAGTGTCAAGATAAGTTATTCATCAGTAACAATGTCAAGACCAGTTTGTCATCAGTAACTGTGTCAAGTGTCAAAACGAGTTTGTCATCAGTAACAGTGTCATGATGAGTTTGTCATCAGTAACAGTGTCAAGACAAGTTTGTCATCAGTAACTATATATGTCGAGTGTTAAGACCAGTTTGTAATCACTACGATTACCAAGATCCGTGAGCTACCAGCAAGAATGTCAAGATTATTGGACCACGGCAAGAAAGTTAAGATTAGTGGATCACGACAAGAATGTCAAGATTAGTGGATCACGACAAGAATGTCAAGATTAGTGGACCACGACAAGAATGTTAAGATTATTGGACCACGACAAGAATGTTAAGATTAGTGGACCGCGTCAAGAATGTCAAGATTAGTGGATCACGACAAGAATGTCAAGATTAGTGGACCACGACAAGAATGTCAAGATTAGTGGACCACGACAAGAATGTTAAGATTATTGGACCACGACAAGAATGTTAAGATTAGTGGACCGCGTCAAGAATGTCAAGATTAGTGGACCACGACAAGAATGTTAAGATTATTGGATCACGACAAGAATGTTAAGATTAGTGGACCGCGTCAAGAATGTCAAGATTAGTGGATCACGACAAGAATGTCAAGATTAGTGGACCACGAGTGTCAAGGTCAGCTTGTTATCAGTAAGAGTGCTGGGAAGAAAACCAAACAATGTAACCATCTGACCAGCCCGCTATCAGTACAAGTGTCAATAACCAGATTTTTAACAGTAGGCCTACCAATCCACGTTGTTAAAAAAAAATAAAGGAAACAAATTACAAGTATATTATTTGCTTGTTCTTTTGACAATGATAATCTAAATTCTTACAGATTATCCATCTGAAAGTTACTTCTGTTTATCTTCAGTTGTTGATGTTAATAGTGACATCTTGTTAATATTAAGTGATTTAATAATGCGAGAACTTTACCAATTATAATACGCTTATTGTTCAATTGTCTTTGCAATGGAATTAATCGAATAAAATCTTATTTTAATTCCAGATTTGTGCCATCCAAAAGGGGAAATAATTGAGACGGTTGCCGGAAATATGATAGCAAGGGAGCGTTACAAATTATTGGTTTTCTCATCTACGCTAAAACGATCTTAACCCATGAAGCATGAATCGTTTGTTAATCAACAAAGTCTTTAGATTATAAATAGTGGTTATTGAGAACTGGGCAAGTGACAGGCATTATTACATTCTGACAGTTCTTTGATCAACAAGAGGCTCGTAATTCACCGAATTAACTTCAATCTAAATTGAAAGATGAAGCGAGGGAGAAAATGATATTTGTGAAGGAGAAAAGGATTTGTTGTAAGCACGTGTTTAGTAGTTGATGTACTAATTGTTCCTAGTATTCTCTGGGGGTAATCAGTACCAATTAACTCAATTGAATCTATACTTGAAATGGAAGATTAGTCTCTAGGCTTTACCAATGTTTACTCAAAAAAGAAAAAAGATAAAGGAATAGTATAATTCTGATATCTATTTGTGTAATTAGACCAAGCTCTACATAATATGATTGTAACAATTCGAATTTATTACTCTGAAAAATAGATTCAATCGTAATACTTAAGTAATTATTTGTCGTACGGCCGTATCAGTAAGATATGCATAGAAAAGCGGTTACCGTACCACCAAACAAAATAAGACATCATTATTAGTGAAGCATCAGCATCGGGTCAAGCTCCACACACGCACAATCGTAATCCCTAATGGCCGTACCAAGTTCCTGTTAAATCCGTACACAGAAATCAATGGACATAATATGCTGACCAGCAACCCTAATGAATTATGTTATACCTAAGAAGAAGTCTAAAGTAAACCAAACCGAAACCTAAGATTGTAGGTGTAAGGGGTAGCTACATGAGTGTTAAAATCAGTATAACTAAATGCCGTGTCTAACATTAATTATTAGCAAAGATATGTCTAGTAATTAGAACCTAACACCCACTCAAGAACACTTAACACCATTATAGAAAAAAACCGTACCTCCAGAATATACATATCCGATTCGGCTTTCATTTAGCATTCTGCGATCCGTGAACCTCGGAGTTCCGACTGTCTTTCCGTGCTATTCTCATCCAATGTGTCATCTCTATATTTAACAAATCAGCATAACCTCAGCTGGCCAAAAGGGATAAAATAATTCGCCCACACACCATAGGAGACAAAACTATGAAAAGCCAGCCAATCCACTTCACTGGTCGGTGTCTTTGTATCATCTGACTTTCTACCAACATCTATCTGCAAAATTGTCGCCATCTAATCTCCTGTTTTCCAATAGAGCTACATATACACTCGAAATATACCTACACGAATCCATACAACCTTCTCAAACACCTTCCTACCTTTCTGTGAGATTTTTCTCAAAATATTACCATTCTTGGTTCTATCATCAACACCATTGAAGTCCAACTACGTTTGACTATTAATCTGAAATACTGAAATATATCAGCAAGGTAACGGACGTCCATACATAATATCAAGACATTTGAGGTCTATTTTTCTGCTCCTAATTGGGCTTGAGAAGACATCGTCATATAATGAAGGAAATTTTTACCAAGAAAGTGTTTTATTTTTACCAAAATGTCGAGGTTTCTTGAAAAAGACCGGGTTAATTTTCCCATCTGAGCGTCTTTCGATAAAATACAATATAATTAACAATTACAAAGTCTCTCCTAGCAAAACAATTGAAATACCTTTACCTTGGATCTCTGCTATCATCCTTTCTGTCTTAACCCCTGATTTCAACTCACACCCAAGGCGGGATTACAAAAAATAGAACCAAGGTATGTTGAGAGTTTGTTCGATTCGTCGTTGCTTTCGTTTATGATATAACTTACTCTTGATAGAAGACAAATTGAACACACCTTATCTGAAACCTCTTCCAGTGAAGAGAAATTATCCCCCAATCAGGACCTAGAAACAATGATTTTAGTTTGAGAGTTCAAATCTCTATTGTACTACACTGAGCACGATTCATTCCCTATCAAGGACTTTGACAAAATGGGTTCTAAACCTTAGAGTTTGTTTTATTTTTATTTTTCAAAAGAAGGGATGGAGGGGAAAAAACTCATCAAAGAGACAAAAGACATACATTTGTCTGTTTCATTAAAATTTAATCTTTTTTGCTTTCACAATCGACGTGATAGGCTAGTTCAAATAATTCGAAATTGTTCATTGGAAACATCAAATGTCGAAACCATCGTCGATCTTAACAATATACATATGTATCCAAACCAACACATGTATCCAAATCAACACATGTATCCAAATCAATTATAATCTCCACCGCGTTCACAAGAAAATGTTGACGTATTTCTAAGGTTCAAATGAAAAAATTCGTAAACATTTCGCCCACTCATTATTAAAATCAATCAGGATAATGTAACGCACTGATATAGTATAGTGGTATTGTTCTGTTGAGTGAAAACTATATCACGCGTTCACTGTAGACAGTTAGATCAAATATTGTCTGTAGGCAATGAAATAGAAGTTACCCCCCTTCCGTTAGTTAAATCCACCTATTGAATATATGCAGTTGACTGTTAAGGTTTTGAGGACATTTTCCATACATCTAGTTGTTTAAGAATCAAATGAATTACTAGAATCCTGATTCTGTAAAAGTTTTCTGATCTGCTTCTGTGTTTCCACATTTTTGCAAATTCCCAAATATAAAAAAAAAGAAGTTTTATTCAATTTTCAAAGTCTTCAAAGCATTATGGTTGAAAGGTCAGGGAAAGTTATCATGAGTATCAGTTTGGTTAAATGTGAAATTTGATAGTATGATTTTAAAGTGACTGATATGTATGTCAGTTATTTATCCTTTTCACCGCCAATTCGTAAAATGAGACCTATTTATCAATACAATATGTATATATAGAAAATTAGTCCACAAGAAAATAAGATTTATTTGAAATTTTCTGTTTAAATTTGTGACTTAATGTTTAATATAAGGACTAATCAATGACTCATGAAATAAAGGATGACAATACTGTCAGTAATGATTATAAAACATAACTTCAAGCCAACATCAAAAGACAAGAAAAGTTAAAAACACATTAATCTCTGTCTTTTAGCTTCCATCAACAGCAATTTAATCCTCTCTTTTCAAAACATAAACCATCTCTTATAGCATTGGAAATTAAAATATTATATCATATTAAATTTTGAATATTCAGTCAGGCATGAATAGGACAATAGGTGATGGAACAAACAGGCTTCATCAATCTTCATAATGAAAAAGTCGGATTTTTTAATTTGAAAGTTAATAATTTATTGCTTTTTATTGTTTGCTGCTTCCCTAACATTATCAAACAACACCAAAAAAAAACCAAACTCGATTTTCTGTAAATGACTTAAATTGCGACATCATATAAGTATGATCAGATATTTTTGTATGCATTAGAAAGATAAACCTTGGCGCGTTGCTTTTTTTTGTTCAATTTACGGCAGTAAATCTATTTTGACAATAAGGAGGATAACGAATATACATGAAGAATGGACTTTTACGTCTCCTTTTCTGTATTTAATTGGATTTTTTTTTAAAAAAAGAGGAACTTGCCCTAGAATGGTTGTTTATGAACATTTTATGAAAGAAAATAAGTTGCGCATTACAACGCTTTCATTTAATTAGTGTTTCATAGCAGTATGTCCCATAGACATCAATCAACTATTATCCAAGTTTTGATCAAATGCACAAAATTTGATACTGAGCGCAGATTGTGTCTTCAAGATGAGCATTTTCATTAATCAATTGATGAGTGGTAATTCAAATTTCAAGATAACATTTGAATTTAATTTTGAATATTTATGAATATTCATGAGCTGGATATTTAACACCTTACAGTAACCCCTGTTATCAAGATATTCAAACTTAGTATAATATATTAGTGGCACGCGACAGGCACACGACCTGTGACAGGTGAATAGCAAAAGGTTGACATTCTTAAAAAAAGAAACTTAACACCTGTCTCGAGCCCCCAACTGAAAAAATTCAAATTGTTTTCCCTCTCCTTATGTGTGATCATAACAATAGATATTTCTCTATTGTGTATCGTTACTTCACCTCTCCAATGGATGGTCACAAGATTTAATACTTACAGGAACACCAGGCCCGTAACTACCAGTAAAATTTTATCTGAACACTTCCCCACTTTCTCTACTTCTGCGATCCACGAGCACCCATATTGCCATTCTGGATAAATTCCCACACGATATATGCAAAGGAATAATATGCAAAAAGTAATATATTTTCTTTTCCTAACCCCAGGCTTCTCTTACGGTGGCTCGTTTAGGATTTGTGCTCTTTGGGAATAGTGATTCAGTTCCTTATTTATCATCTATGTTATCTTAATTATCATTTTATACTAAAACAAACATCATCCTCTCATCTCCATCCCATTCCCACAAAAATTGTTCAAACTCGGATTTTTTATGTCTATAAAACAGGCCTTTTGTCACAAAAAATGCACATAAATGCATCACTGAAAACCTTTTAATAAAGTCAAATTAGAATGTGCTTTATCTATTGAAATAGTCTGTTTGCATAACATGGTAAAATACAGACTAATGTTCGTTTATTATAGAAATAGACGTTAAAAACATACGTTTAACATTGTCTTTATGTAAATAAAATTTATTAAAAACAAACATTTCATTAAGAATCGTGCAATATTCCTGTAAGACAACTAAAGACATTTACAGGAAACAAGCTGACTTTGAGAATGTCAACAAGATGTCTTCCGCTTGTCAGGATTCCAGCGTCTTATTATAAAATCCATCCTCAAACAATCACTTTGTCTATCAGAAATTCATATACATCGAGAAACCTTTTCAAGTTAAAGTAAGTTCGCCTGCAGGTAGAACTTGTGCTAATAGACAATGGCCCAGTAGGATACTAGAATATTATTAATAACAGCATAAACAAGC